CCCCCCCCCCCCCCCCCCCAAAAAAAAAAAGTCTGTAGTGTTACTGGAAACTCAGAGCATGAAGAATAGGGAGAAGACGTCATCTTCAATGAAAAGTGAAGGGGCTCTTCGGCACAGTGGAGGGCTCTGGTGCCGGACTGCAGGTGCTGAGATATATGTAGTCCCCATGTCACCTCCAGTGCATAGGGTGGCACCTGGGGCTGGTATCATGGCAGGATGTGGTCATCAGCGTGGGTAGTGGATTTGCCAGCCCAACAAAGCTGGGCTGCTTGTGTCCCAGGCGTTGAAATCAGTCCACACACTGCCTTGGCATCGTGGGCTTTGCCCTGTGTGTCCATAACACACAGCTGCAGCCCATGACTGTGGAAGGAAGGGAAGCAGAGCACGGTTGTGCTAAAGTTCAGAATTTTCCCAATGTGTAGCAAGGAGAAGTTTTGTGATGAGAGGGTGAACGAGCAAATAGAGGACTTCCTGATAGCGTGAGCCATGTTTCCTCCATGGCACGTGAGTTTTCAGATGGGGTAATGAAGGGCTTTTGGAGAGGCCAAGCTGTTAGCACGATGATGGGCTGACGAATTGCATTGGAAGCAACATGAGGATGTGGTTTTTGGGGGACCTCTCTGATATGTGGAATTTCCCTCACTATTTTTCAATGATTCCCAAATGAGGAACCTACGCCAACTAATGCCATCTGCTTTTGCTTCTCTACACTGAAAATGCCCAGAGCACCAGCAGACAGGTAGGGGTGAAGGCTGGGCTGCTGCCAGAGGTGGAACAGCCACTCTTCAGGATTATTTAGAGAACTACACACTGCTGGGAAGCAGCAGACATGATCTCGGAGCCTGGATCACTCTGCTTTGTGCCCCTGGGGCTGTCACCTGTTTTCAGCCTGCACTCCAGCATCCAGACAGTGCCTCAGCTCTCCAGCCCGTGGGATCAGAGCCAGCTCACTGCTCATCCGTGTCCTTTTTCCTCAGTTTCTCCCAAGCTGACAGACACTGATGAGGGGAGGGCTGTCCTAAAGCAGTCTCCACATGGCTTCACTGCTAGAATAGAATCCAAGAACCAGCGCTGTTCACATATCCTCCTGCATGCCCGGGTTCTGTGAGAGCAGCTGCTCCCACCACAATGCCTAAAATCTGTTCTCGGGGAGCAATGAGGTTGCAAAAGGGGCATGAAGCCTGCCCAGAAAGCAGTTCTGGCACTGGCAGAGCTTCCTTCTATGATGAGGAAGCTTCTTGCACCACAAGCAACTGCTCTGCCCAGCTGTTTCCTTCCAGTGCATGCACATCGTGCAGTCAGGCGGGCGCACTGAGAGGTGCTGCCTGTGGGGAGGAGGGAGCATGGCCCCGCAGTGCGCCCTTCTCGTGGTCCTAGCGACTCTGCTGGCAGCGCTGGAGACGGAACAACATGCCCCCAAAAACAGAGGATATTCCTGGTATACAGGTAAGGTATGACCGCTCTCCCCTGGCAAAAGGAGGTTTCACTGCTCGCTTGCTGTGCGTTTGCTGCATATCTTTACCATGAGCAGCACACAGAAGGGTCAGAGATGTTATTCACAGCAGGACCTGCAATAGATGGGCATGAGTTGGGGTCGAGCTGCCGTAAGCTGTGTGCTGCTGTTTTTAGGAGACCACATAAATGCTTTCCCCTGTGCCATGCCCCGGTGCGCAGTGACATCCCCTAAAGGCTGCTCTTAGTACAGGCTACGAGGTGCCCAAGCCGAGAGCTGGGAACCCTTCAGGGAAACCCAAGAGAGGGGGCCTCTCAAGGTCCATGAGACAGAGTCATGGTGCCCATCCCCAGCTCTGCAGCCTGGTATGGGGATGGGGGGAACTGCAGAGCACCACACACAGCTCACTTTCTATGAGCGGATCAGGGTTGTTTTGTTGTTTCCAACATCTGCCAGTAAAGCTGAGACAGGGGGCTGATATTTAATCTCAGCAGAGCCCTTCAAGTCGTCTTTGTAGTTCAGGAGCAATCTGAGTTCTCAGGAGGTGGAGGATTCATCCAGAGGCTAGGCCCGGGGCCATCATCCTGCTTTCTGCATCTGTTCGACCAGGAGTCTCTCCCTGTACTGACCTTGCCACAGCTGGATGACAAAAAAATGTTAAATGAGCACTGTGTTGTCCCACTCTGCTGTGCAGCACGGAGGAACTGCAATGGAGGAGTGCCCTGTGCTTGCAGGGAGCGGAGCACAGCACGCTGTCACTGCAACACTGGGGGTAAAGTCGGTGGACATCCCCTGTCTGCAGTGCCCAACCCCCCTGCTCAAACTGTCCTGATGGGCCAGTGAGTGTAACTATGCCCATGTGTGGTTTTCCAGCTCATTTACCCAGATCATAAGGTCAGGTGGAGTCCAGGACACAGACTGTGGGACACAGTGGGACATGGTGGCTGGTGAGCGCATGGCGTGCTCTGCACATCAGCGTCACCTGCCTGTCCCAGGAGCTGCCTGTGGTGAGGATGGTGTTTGCTGAGTTTGCACCTCTGTGTTTGTGAAGAAGAGGAACTGAGACACGAGCGCTCGGCAGCCACACACAGCAGCCCTGCCTGCATCCTCAATTTGTGCACATCCACATCCAGATCAGTGCCAGATCCCCCTGGGGTCAGGATCCTTGCATCACAGAGGACCAGGAGAGGGGGATGGTCAGGATGGGGCCCTGCTGGAGCCATCTTACATGTGGTGGCCAGGGATTGTGGGGCAGAGCGGACCCTCTGGGAAGAGATAGGGAACAAAGGGAGCAGAGGTCCCTGCACATCCCCCCTAACCGTGGAGGGTACAATGGAAGAGTGGGAAACAACCCCAGGCCACAGTGTTTTTGGGTTGCGTGGAGGAAACGAAATGACATAAGGAGCATCCCAATGCTGGGGTAAGGCAGCCCCACAGTCAGCACTGCCAGCACTGTGAGCAGCTGCCAGCAGAGGATGTGGTCAGGGCGTGTGGTGCATTGTGTGCACCGAGCTGCACTGTTCCTTTGTCCTGTTGTCTCCTGACTGCCCTCCTGCACTGCTTTTGTGGGGTTTTAACACCTGAACGAAGGCCTCAGCTCCTCACACCGTGCTCAGAAGGGAGGTGGGCAAGCCTGTAGGGGGTGTTTTCCTGGATAGCTTCATGATATGCAGTGACTTACATGCAGACACCAAGAGCTGTAGCATCAGTGCCTGGTGCCACTATAGGTGTGAGTAAGGGAGACGTGGCTTTCAAACAGGGCCTTGAGTAAATCCTGGGGGGAGCACAGACTTCAGGGCACACCATGGAAACTGTGAAACCTATGCTACTCTCTATGCTACTCTCTGCTGACCCCTCCTACCATACACACCCAGGGCACGCCAGGCTCTGCTTTGCCACACCCCTGGAATGTCCTGCAGCAGGTACAGGTGCTCCATATAACTGCTGTAAAACGCCTAAGCATTTGTGTCTATGGAGCAGAGGCAACAAGGGGTTAATCACTGAATGAAAACCAGCGCAGTACTGCGTGTCTGCCGATGCAAAGCACACAGACCAACCTTTCTGCAGTCAGCACACATCACATGCTGAGTGCATGTGTCACACCTGAACCATATTTTCCATGCTGAACCATCACCCAGGCTCCTTCCTGCACTCTGTGCAGGGCTGGTAGGCAGTGTCTGTGCAGTGAGGGTGTGAAAAACAGCCTCCAAAGGTGGTTTCTCTGCTCGCAGGATGCTGTCAGTTCCTACCAGGCTGGGAGCTGTGTGTTTCTCTCGGTCCTCTCTTCGAACTCCATCCTAGTGATACAGGGCCAACAAGAAGTGCTGAGACTCACTGGAGCCCCTCATGTTCCTGCAGGCACTCAAAGCAGGAACTGGGCTGGAGATTTTTGCCCCGAATCCCCTAATCGGGATTTTAGAGGAACAATGAAGATGGGACGGCTCTCTGAGCACCTTCCATCGACACCGTGCTCTTCTCCTGCCCCCAGGGCCCCACATCTCCTCATGCCGTCCATTGCTGACACCACAGTCAGCCGTGGCCGAGCCTCAGCCCTCCTCCTTGTGCCCCTGTCCCCGAGACGGACCATCACACTTTGTCCCAACAGGGCCGTGCACCAAGCCGTGGTGGGACCACAACCTCCAGTTTACACCAGACAGAAACAGCTATGGAGTGAATGAGGAACTGCAGCTGACCTGCCCTGGACAGCTCAAGCCCTCCTTCACCAGTGTCAAATGTGTAATTCAATTTCAAGAACCAAGTTCTATAGCACAATACGTCTGGATGGGGAGGAACAGCACAGGCGCCTGGATCCACATTGCAGGGGCCGTTTGGTGTGTTGGTAAGTGAGAGCAGCACTCGGTGTGGGGGCAACGCGCAGCAGGAGGGGCCGGGTCCTGTGCCCCGTGCCTTGGGGGTCGGACCAAGGAGTGGATGGAGAGGACAGTCCTGGGAAAATCCCAACCATGGGCTGTGAGGAGGACTAAGGGGATGGCGGGGATGAGAGTGGAACCGTACGGTTTGTGACTCCCGGGGTCACTGGGACATACAAGGTGTGAATGAGAGGTCACTGGGACGTAAAAGGTGAGCCCCTCCCCAAGAAGTATCCCAGGGGTCATATCATGGCAGATGGACATGTCACTTTCTGTGTCCCTCCAGTGACCGGAGGGCTGCAGGTGTTTGCTGATACCCGCCGTGCTCTGTCCTGCCTCACCAGCTCCCACCCTAACTGAACCCGTTTTCACTTCTGCCAGAAACGTGCCAAAGGCCCCAGTGGGATACAAAACTCCATCTGACTCCAGATCTGCAGGAGTACAGGAAGAACGACGCAGTGATGCTGAGCTGCCCCGAGGGTTTACAGCCATCCTACACCCATGTCCGATGTGCAGAGGGAAATGGGGCTTTGGATGATGCTGGATCTGTATACAGAGACACGTGGCAGGGGTGGAGCAGCACTGGTGCCTGGCTCCGCATTGAGGGGACTGTGCAGTGCCTTGGTAAGTGGAGTGGCAGGAGGTGCCTTCTCTGCAGCCCTGTGCTCTGACTTTCCACCCTCTCCCCTCTCTCAGTTCCCCGCCTCAAAACTGAGTGCAGGAACATCATCCTGGTGCCTGATCAGGCTCACAACTGAGTCAGGTTGTCTGTGCTACAGGAAATCACTTCCCCAGACTGATTCTTGGTCCGTGCCGGGCACTCAGCCATGTCAACTGCAGCACACAGCTGGGTGTGATCTGCAAACTGCTGAGGGCACACTCCATCCCACTGTCACTGATGGTGATATCAGAGAGTTGGCAGACCCAGTACTGACCCCTCTGGCACACCACTCATCACTGGTCTCCACACGGACATTCAGCCATTCACCTCCACTCTCTGGGTACACTCTGGCAGTCGGTTCATGGTCCATCAGCAAATCCACTCATGACATCTGTATCTTTCCAATTTGGAGAGAAGGATGTGACGAGAGTCCATCAGTCAAAGGCCTCACTGAAGTCCAGGTTACAGCCACAAATCTTTCCTTCTCCTCCCATGCAGTTACACGGTTATAGAAAGCTACCAGGTTGGTCAGGCAGGACCTGTTCCTGGTGAAGCCACGCTGGTTCTCCCATTTCACCTCCCTATCTTCCATGTGCCTTAGCATAGCTTCCAGGAGGATCTGCTCCACAGTCTTCCCTGACACGCAGCAGAGACTGACAGGCTGATAGTTCCCTGCCTGTCAACACACCATTGCCTTTTACTCCAGTCACCACAGGCTTTACCAGACTTTTCACATATCATTGAGTGTGACTTGGCAACTACATCAGTCAGTTCCCCCAGGACTCTGGAATGCACCCCACTGGGACCAATAGGGTTATGGATGCTAAGCTTCCTCACCTGGTTGTAAACCTGATCTTCTCTTACGGAGGGAGGGATGCTGCTCCCCCAGCTCCCACCTTCTGAACCAGCTGCTCAAGGGCTCTGTGTAGAGCGCTGGCTAGTGGAGACCGAGGCAAAAACTTGTTGAGTGCCTCTACCTTCTCCTTGTCTGTCGCTACCAACCTGCCTGTGTTGTTCACCTGGACTTATGCACTCCTGGTCTTTGCTTTTCCAGCTGCTGTACATACAGAAGCCTTCTTTATCCTTTTTTTGTGCCCCTTGACAAGTCCATTTCCTGGTGGGTCTTGGCCTTCCTGACCCCATTCCTGCACAGCCCGCGAGCATCCTTATCTACTTCTCCTTGGTACATGCCCCTGCTCCGTCTGCCTCTGCATTTTCTTCTTGCTGTCCAGTTGGACCAGCAGTTCCCTGTTCAGCCATACTGGTGTCTTCTTCATTCCTGACATCCCACACCAGGCAATGAAGAGCTCTTGTGTACAAAGAAAACTTCCTTAGAGATCTGCTAGCTCCACTTCATTTCTTAGTTTTTGTGGACAGATTCCCAGGGTTTTTTTTTTTTGGCCAACTCTCTGAAGATCCTGAAGTTGCCTTTCCTAAAATCAAGCTTCCTGATTTTACTCTTCCTCTGCCTAATATCCCTCACGAGTGTGAGCTCGATCACTGCGTGGTCATGACAGCCCCAGCAGCCTCCAATCATGATGTCACCAATCAGTTTAGTGTCACTGGTGAGCACCCAGTCCAGCACTGCATCCTCCTGGTGGGGCTATCTGTGACCTGCCTCAAGAAGTTACCCTCAGTGCATTCCAGGTGCTCCAGGATCACCTGCAGCTCACTGTGCTACTTTTCCAGCAGGTGTCAGGGTGGTAGAAGTCCCACAGCAGGACGAGAGCCTGTGATCACAACAGCTTCTGTAGCTGGAGCAGAACACTTCATCAACAGGCACTCCTTGATCAGTCGCCCTGTGCTGATCACCTACCACAAGGCTCCCTCTGCTGCTTCCTTCTTAATCCCACCACTAAGCTTTCAGCTTGATCCAGGCCATCTGCAGGGACTCCTCTTCCCATTTTATTCCTTCCTTGATGTGGAGGGCAATGCCTCCTCTCCTCCTTCCTCACCTGTCCATTCTGAACTGCTCGTAGCCATCAATACCCACACTCCGGTCATGGGAAACGTTTCAGTGGGTGCTGGAGATGACGACTGCATCATTTCAGGAAGCACAGTGGTTTCCATCTCCTCGTGTTTGCTTCCCAAGCTGTGTATGTTGGTGTAGAGACACTTCAGCTGGGCAGCTGGTCTTCTTATCTCCTTGGGGGATAACTCTTCTCCTGCCCACAGGGTCCCACATCTCCTCATGCCATCCATTGCTGACACCACAGTCAGCCGTGGCCGAGCCTCAGCCCTCCTCCTTGTGCCCCTGTCCCCGAGACGGACCGTCACACTTTGTCCCAACAGGGCCGTGCACCAAGCCACAGTGGGACCACAGACTTCAGTTTACACCAGACAGAAACAGCTATGGAGTGAATGAGGAACTGCAGCTGACCTGCTCTGGACAGCTCAAGCCCTTCTTCACCAGCGTCAAATGTGTAATTCAATTTCAAGAACCAATTTCTATAGCACAATACGTCTGGATGGGGAAGAAGGCCTCTGGTGTCTGGACCCGCATTGAAAAGAACATTTCATGTAAAGGTAAGTGAGGCAGCAGCATTTCTACCCATGTGCTCTCTGCCTTCACACCAAAATTCCACTCCCAGCATTGCCCAGCGGGCACACATCATGTGGCAGGGTGTGGGGCCAGCTCTGAGGGGCTTCCGTGGCTGTCCTGGTCTTTGCTGTGCCTGCAGATGCAACCCTGGTGTGCACAGCTCTGCAAACCCTTGTTTCCTGTGCAGGGGAGGGTCCCTGGGAGTCCTCCAGCAGCTGCAGGAGCTGCAGTGTGGGAGACAGAAGGGATAAATGAGTGGGGGATGCAGGGAGCACTGGGCACCTGTATGGAAACCAGTGAGGATCTGCCAGAGGGGAGGGCAGTACCCTCCCACAGGACAGGGCTGTGATACCTGTGGGGATGATTTCAGACAGGTGGGCAGGGAGAGAGGTGCCATTCTTGCTGCCAGAGCTCACGCTCCCATGTCTAGAAAGGTGCACGCGAGCCATCTGCCTGTAAGTCTGGGCAGGCAGTGGTGAAGAGGGGGAAAGAAGCAGGCTGTGACCAACCTCTGAGCAAGGAGGGTGCAGAAGAGATTTGCTGGACCCTAGGGAGGTCTGGAGCATCATAGGCACTTAGGGATTTCAGGATGGAGGCAGGTTTGAAGGAAGGAAAAGAGATGTCTGCTTAGGAAGGATCCAGATTGTGTGTTGTTGTTGTGGGGCGATGGATGTCTCACTGTCCTCCTGGCGGTAAGAGCAGAGCAGGTGTGTGGGGATCAGTTGTGGCTCCAGAGTAAGAGGCAAGGCCTCCATTTTTGGTCCTGGCAGAGGTGTCTGTGTCTTCCCATCTGTGTTTGGGATTCAGAACACGTTTCTGGGGATCCCTGCCAACCCCATCCTCAGGCACTGCCCCACCTCACCATTTCCCACCCTTACTGAACCTGCTTCCACCTATGATAGAAATGTGCCAAAGGCCCTGCTGAGACCCTCTTCTCCATCTAGCACCAGATCTGGAAGAACAAATGAGTGATTGGGCTGAGCTGCCCTGAGGGTTTACAGGCATCCTACTCCCCTTCATATGTATAGGAAAAGTGAAGTCCCTCAGCAATGGGACATCCAAAAAAGACTACAAGGGAAGGAACATCAGTAATGCCTGCAGCTGCATCCGGAGTGCCTGAATAAAGGGGCACCAGGAGCTGTCCTGGAAGTCCCACACTGCCCTTCCTGCCCAGGGGAAGGCAGGCTGTGTGAGCACGAGAGGATCCAGGCTTTGGATGTGCAGGGGAAGTGGGAGGTGCTGCTGAAGGGCTGTAGTGTAGGAAGGCTGACCAGAAACTCCATCCCTCACCACTATGTATCAGGGCAGCAGCTCTTCTGTTAACATCTTCCCATGTTTTTGGTGCAGAAAAATGTCAGAAGCCACAGTGGGATTCCAGGATTCGTCTTGATCCAGACCAGGAATTCTACAACTTCAATAAAACGGTGATGCTGACATGCCCTAATGGGTATTGGCCTTCTGCCATGAGGATCACTTGTGTGAAGCCAAGCCCACACCAAGGCCTCTCAGCTCCTCAGAACATCTGGTTTATGAAGAACAGCACAGGCTTATGGCCGTTGGCAGTGGGAGATATGAGATGTGTGGGTGAGTGAGGACCTCCATGAGTGAGGGAAGGTGAGCATGATGGAGGTCTCCTGCATTTCTGCTGGCCCCATTATGTAGGCACACATGGATGTTGCCTCTCCCTCTGGAGCAGCTGAGCAGGGTTACGGTGCCAGGAGCCTGAGCAGCAGCATGGCTCTGCCCTTGTCACTTGCTGGTAGACACGGCTGTCACTGGAAGCACGGGAGGGACGTGTCCCTGCTTCCTCCCTTTCTGGGTTCTTGTGCCCATGGACAGCTCACTGCCCCACCTCACCGCCTCCCACCCTAACTGAAACCCCTTTCACCTTTGCCAGAAACGTGTCAAAGGCCCCAGTGGGACCCAGGACTTCGTCTGGCACCAGACCAGGAGAAGTACAGAAGGGATGAAGAAGTGACACTGAGCTGCCCTGAGGGTTTACAGCCATCCTACACCCGCATCAGATGTTCAAGAGAAGGGAAACGTGTAAACAGGGATTTATGGCTGGGAAGGGACAGCAGCGATGCCTGGACCCATATTCGGTCCAGTGTGAAGTGTGTGGGTAAGGGAGGCAACAGAAGCTGTCCTGGGAGCCCCGCGCTGTCCTTCCTTTTCAGGGGTAGGCAGGCTGTGTGAGCACGAGAGGTTTCAGGCTCTCTGTGTGTTGGGGAAGTGGGAGGTGCTGCCGAAGGGCAGTGGTGTAGGAAGGCTGATCCATATCATGCCTGGGAGCTCCATCGCTCACCACTGTGTACCAGAGCAGGGAACATCCTCCCTCTCCCCTTCCCTGTTCTGCACAGACAGCCTCTGTTCTGCTAATGCTTTTCCATCTGGTTGCTGCAGGGAAATGCCAGAAGCCCCAGTGGGACCCCAGGATTCTCTTTGTCCCAGACAAGGAGTCCTACGATCTCAACGAGACAGTGATTTTGACGTGCCCAGTAGGGTACTGGTTGTCCCACACAGAGGTTTCCTGCATGAAACAAAACCCTAGACAAGGCTCCACAGCTTCTCAAATCATCTGGCATGAGAAGAACGGCAGAGGACGCTGGCAGCCTGTAGAAAGGAACATGATCTGTGTGGGTGAGTGAAGCTGCCATTCTCAGTCTGCTCACCCCAGCAAGGGAGATGGTGCCAGATGCAGTGTGCAGTCTCAGTAGCGTGCGTTCTGCGTGGTCAGGGAATGCCGTGGGTGTGCACTGCAGAGAAAAGAGCTGCTAACGCAGCCCAGGGTTGTGTCTGTCCTCCTGGCAGTTACCAGATCAGCTGCTAGCCCCCTAGTGTTGAGAGCAGAGGGATCACAACCTTGCCAATCAGTTTTTGCCATTCCTATCCTCAGGCCTGAATCACTGCAGCACTGTGCCCTTAGAGTGGCCAGGGCACAAGAAATGTGCAGTCATTGCCCAAGTACTGTGTGGGAGAAGGCAGGACGGCACTGGCCGCACAGTCCTGGGGAAATGCCAGCAGAAGTGGGACTAATAGAGATCTGGTGCAGGTTGGGAGGGGATAGGAAGAAAGTGACTCTTCTGCATGCTTCCTTCATAGAGGTCTTCCAGGTTGTCCCTGGGACCTTGGTGGTTTCCAGCACCAGCATCAAACTGAACTGGACCTGCAGCTTCCCTGATGCCTGCCAGCACATGCAGGCCACATGCCGGCTGGCAGGGCATTCCTCTCCTCCCTGTAAGGCTGAGAAGATCACAGAACAGGAGATACTACGTGGTCAGAACGGAACATTTGCCTGTCCTCCTTTGCAGCCCTTCACTATTTACAGCATCACTATCTCAGTGCCACCCAGCACAATCCTGTTCACACAACACCTTAGGACAAAAGCAACGGGTAACTGCCCTCTTATATGTAATGTAAAGTTTGCTCTTCACCCCAGAATCCCCACTTGTGACTCCATCTTCCTGTGCTTCCAGTGCCGCAGAAGCCAGAGCAGCTGCAGCTGGATGCCAGCACGGGGACTCTCAGGTGGAAGGCGCTGCCCTCCTGTCGAGGGGAGATCACTGGGTACCAGGTACCAGAGCAGAGCCTTCTGTACCCAGGCAGCAGAGCAGCAGCTGCCCTGGGCTTGAGCAGAAGATGGGTGCTGCTCCCCTCAGCACCTCTCCTCTCTCTAGCTGAACTTCACTGCCAGGAGAGCACACGATGGCACCTTCCTGAACTTCCAGCAGGTAACAGTGAACCACTCTGTCACCCAGTACACGCCGCCTCCCCAGAGCCCAGGCACCAAATACACAGTGACGGTCCAGGGCCTGACGGTAGCTGGTGCTGGGGATGCATCCAGCCTGGAGTTCCAAGCCTACATCTCAGGTAATGGCTTCTGTGCCATGTGTCTGCCTGGTGGGGTCATGGGGCAAACGTGAGGTGTGAGCAGGTCCTGAGCTGCTGTGCAACCATCCTGTCCCTCTATGACAGGGCAAGGAATCGCAGAATCATAATAAAGTTTGGGTTGGAAGGGACCTTTAAGATTATCTAGTTCCAATCACCTGCAGCAGGGAGGGGACACTTCCCTCCAGACCAGGTTGCTCATGGCCCCATCCAGCCTGGCCTTCAGTGCCCCTGGGGGAGGCATACAAGCTCACTGCGTGGACACATCCAGTGTCTCACCTCCCTTAAGTAAAAGATTTCTTCCTAATATCTAGTCTAAATATCTAGTCTACTCTCTTCCAATTCAAAGCCATTTCCTCTCATCCTGTTGCTACATGCCCTAATAAAAAGTCCATCCCCAGTTTTCCTGTAGGGCCCTTGAGGTACTGGAAGGATGCTATAAGGTCTCCCTGGAGCCTTCTCTTCTCCAGACTGTACAGCCCCAGCTCTCTCAGCCTGTCTCATAGTGGAAGTGCTCCAACCCTCTGACCATCTTTGTGGCCTTCCCCTGGACCTGCTCCAACAACTCCATGTCCCGTCTGTGTTGGGGGCTACAGACACTGTGCTCCAGTTGTGGTCTCATGGAAGCAGAGTAAAAGGGCAGAATCACCTCCCTTGACCCTCTGGTCATGCTTCTCTTAATGCTGCCCAAGATAGGGCTGGCTTTCTGGTTGGCTGGCACATGCTGCTGGCTCGTGTTGAGCAGAAGCGTGGCAGCAGCTCCTGGGGCTGTGAATCCTCTCACTAGTCAGACTGCACTGTGCAGTTTATGGAAATGGAACTCTTCCTCATAACCCAAAGCCTCCCTGCCTCTTCTCTGCCCATTAGTGCTGAAGGCAGCACATGTTGTGACTTGCTGCCTGTCCCCACAGAGCTGTGGGTACTGGACAAACACACATCAAGTGTGCACACAATTGATGCCAAGGCCTGGGCACTCACCCCAGGCTGTGACACCTTGGCTGTGTTTTAGTTTCAGGGCAGTTTCTGGGCTCCTGGCCATGGACAGCAGTGACAGTGGTGGTTGTGCTCTCAGTGATGGTCACTCTTTCTGCGGTGATCGTGTGGTTCGTGTTGTCCAGGTGAGTAGTCTTGGGACTTGGAGCTGCTGTTCTGCCTTTCAGGCCAAGCTGTAGTACTGGGGTGGCTGGTGCTCTGCTTCCTGCTCTGCTCCCACTGCTTTCAAGCAGCAGGGATGCTGCTGGCTGGTCGGTGCAACCGTGATTCAGCTGTAGGACTGCTAACGGGGTTATCTGAGCGTCATCCTCAGGGTTGGAGCAGGGAGTGTGTGTGCTGGGAGACCCCATCCCCTGTGGCCACTGCTGCCAGTGCTGCTGTGCCTTGAGGTGCCGACAGGCAATGCCTGCCAGTGGGGGAGAGGCTTGGGCACAGAGTGTGCAGAGCGCTTCTTCCACTGCCACTGGGTTCAGCAGGGCTCTGGGCCATGTCAGCCCGTTCCCAAATTCAGACTGTCCCCTTGTCTTCCCAGGAGAAGAAAGGCTGTGCCCATCAAAGCTGAGGAGGACCATTATGTAGGTATGGGTCTGGCACAGGAACGGCTGCAGGGCCGGAGTGGTGGGTGGGGGGAAAGCAGGTCAATGCCCAAGCTGCTGTCTGAATCTGCCCAGCTCCTTTCACACACCCTCTTGCTCTTTCTGTGCCTGCAGAACTGCAGCCATATGAAAACTCAGACATTTACTCTGTGATCAAGGGGAGATCTCTGTCAGAAGAAGAGGCAGGTAGGAGGTGGGATGCTGTGCCTGTATTCCCTGAGACACCAGAGGCAGCTATTGCCTGGTGCCCCAGTCTGTACCAGAGCTGCTAGAGCTCTCTGCACTGCCCAGGGCTTGCAGTAGCCTTTAGCCAGGTGCTGTTGGTGTCCACAGGTACAGATGGTCGGGACAGAGAGCCAACATCCCTACATCTGCCCATCCTGGAGTCCTCAAGAGTCTCACCCAGCAGTGTGAGAGTGGAGAAGATGGGTAGAACATCCCTGGGTCAGTGGTGACAGCATGCCCTGCTGCTTCGTCTTGAGTCTTTGTCCTGCACAGCTGGAAGCGGAACTGCGTGAATCTTGGCGGTGTTATTGCTCCCACCCATGTTTTCAGTAAGCTCCTGCATCCTGCATCACAGAGCAAGAGCAGCCCAAGGCCTGGGATGAGCTATTTGTGCTGGTCAGGTGTCCTTTAGCACCTGGCACTGCCCATTCTTGACACAGGGCTTCCCAGCCTTTCTCTACATTCTGCACCAGAACCCATCAAGCTCTAGAACTCTGCTGGAGTTTGGCCCAAGTGCGCTGCCCTCACAGCTGCGCTGCTGTGTCTTAAGAGCCAATAAAATGTTTTGGTTTTCAGAGGGCTGCCTGCTCCTTACTGCATCCATGTGGTTGGGGTTCTTCCCTACTGGGTGTGAAAGCTCTGTCTGTCCTTCTCTACATGGGAGGTTGAGGCTTGTGCAGCCCCAGCAGTTCTGAGGCAGCACCCCGAGAAGCCCTGTGCTCCCAGCACAGTGATGGGGAGCTATCCCTCCTTCCTTCATGAGAATGCCACCAAATGCCACAGGTGTGGTCTCACAGGAGCGGAGTAAAGGGGCAGAATCACCTCCCTTGTCCTGCTGGTCATGCTTCTCTTCATGCAGCCCGGGATATAGTTGGCTAGGAC